CTAACCCCATCACAACCTGACCTTCCTCCTGTAAGAGGAGTTCTATGGAAGGGGTGTGCTGTAATACTGTCTGTCTCACTGGAGATAAAAGGGGAGAAGGAAGCGGGGACTAAAGTACCACCAGGCAAGGATTGCCAGGAGTGGAGCGTGGCTTTAGGACCCAGGCCCCTTTGAGAGAAAGCTCTGGATTCTGGGGACAGCTAAGGCACCTGGAGGTCTTTAGAGAAATACAGGTGAGGCTGACAGAAGCTGAAGGAAACATGGGCTTTCCTCCACCATCAACACAGAGAGCGGGCCATCTCATAGGGCTGGTACCCTGAATTAGGACTTCAGGCCACCTAGTCAGGCTCTCTGGTGGCCTAGTGGTAGGAAGCCGTGCAGCAATCTCGAAGGCATGTGGTCCAAGGCCACAAGCTGCTCCTCAGGAAAAGGACTGGCAATCTCTTTCTGTGCAATTAACTGCCTCTGAAAATCCGCTGGAGGGTCAGCTACAGGTCTGTTCTAACTCTATGTAAACAACAACAAACAGCCTCCTACACAGGTACTCTGGTGGCCTAGAGGTAAGAAGCTGTGCAGCAATCCCAAAGGAATGAGGTTCGAATCCACCATTATGCTCCATGGGAGAAGGATGGACAATCACTTCTTGTGAGATTTCCTGCCTCTGAAAACCTGCCGGAGGGTCCAGTTTTGGGTCGGTTCTGACTTGATGGCACACAACAACAATAACAACAACAGTCTCCTAACAGTAAGAGTTATTGGTTTGCTTTGCTTGTTAAGGCATCCACTTGTGGTGTCTCTGTCACAGCAGCCTAGATAACTAACACCAGGCAGGGCAGTCTACACGCCCTCCCCTGCCTGTATCTGTCCACGTCCTGGTGGGGAGAGGAGAGGCTGCCCCTCACCACACGGCCTCTTCAGGAAACCCCTCACAGACAGGAGGCACAGAGCCTCCCAAGAGTCGTCACTGCAGGCTGAACACTACAGACCGTCACAGAGGTGCCTGAGCCAGAGGGAACCAAACTGAAGGGGAGATTTGATTCTCCCCTCCTTTCCCTGCTTCCCTCTCTGTCTCTTCTAGAACAGTCTGTAAGATGGTCACAATCTTTCCACCAGGGGCTTCAGAAGGGGTCCAGTCACCTCCACCTTCACAGCAGGAAATAGGCCTTCAGAGGGAAAGGGCCAAATTCACAGCATGGACTAGAACCTGACACCTGTCCTGCTCTCCTGGCCCTTCTCCCTAGGTGATGGCCCAGCTTTACGACTCAGGGCCAGGGGGAGCGCTGGGGAAACAGCTCCTCTGCATCGACAACACCCTGAAAATACGTTCTCAGGAGGAAGCCCCCCTGACAAATTCTTAGTAAGTGCTGCTGGACTGGCAGGGAACTGTCAGCATGGCTGCTAGCTCACCCCAGGAAGAATTTATACCCCAGAGAACGCAGACTGGAATGGGGAAAGGACGGCCATGTGAACGGTGAGTAACAGCTATGCGGTGACACAGAAAAGACCATTCTTTCATTGTGAACACTTAGAATCAATGTCCAAATCTCGGCCAGGAACCAGGAATTCCTCAGAAGTGGCCATTCGTCTGAGAGAAGCCAGAACAACTATGAGAAACAGGCCTGACAAATAGGGCCTATGATGGGAGCAGCTGGGGACAGAGGGACCAGCCTCGAGAGGATGCAGGGAGAATGGCTCTGTGTCCATTCAGGATAAACAGCACATTTTCTAATCTCTCTACCTGCTCCTCCAAGAGTGCCTAGTCTGTAGGAAGAGTTAGTTTAAAAACCTCTTCAGAATGTAAAATACAGTGTCTAAATGATGGCATAAAACATAATGTACATGAAGGAAACACAATGTATATGAATGACTGTAAGCAAACAAACTTTTAAAAATTTTTTTAAAAATCAGAAAATACTTTTTTTTATTGCAACTCAATCAAGCTTGTTTTAAAGGGCAGATTTAAGACACTAGACTGTTTAGTTTGGGGTTTTGTCTTCACACAGAAAAGGTGTCACTGACTTACCCACATCAGGACTCTACCCTGGGGGTGTGTGTGTGTGGAGGGAGTTTATGCTTCCAGCTGGGAGGAGAAGCACACAGACAACACCCAGAGCAGCCAGCCAGGGGGCCACACTGCCCTTCTTCCTTCTGAATACACTCTGGTGGTACTGACAGTGGCCAAGATACCAGTAATACATTTCATTTCCCTGACTCCCTTGCAAACAGGGGGAAAAGTGACCAAGATCTAGACCAGATGGATAAGAAAAACTACTGGACCGAGCTAAGAAAAACTACTGGACCGAGCTTCTGGGAAATCTCCTTAGAAGGGGGGCTCATTCAGGCGGCAGATGCCATTCTCACTTCCCTTTCTTTGCTTTCTTTCCAGAACAAGGATGTGATGGCTGTAGTGCAGGCAGCCACGTTGTAACTCAGAGGCACTTCTGAGGATGGAGGCCAAAATCAGAGAACAGTTAGTTGACCCAAAAGATTAGAGGAGACTCCACACTAGGCCTGTGCAGCCTTCTCTGGACTTTATTTTTTTATGTTAAGAGAAATCAAAGCCCTGTTGTATAAGTCATTATTGTTCCCTATTGTTGGTAGTCACGCACGTTTCCAGTTGAAACAGGATATACACACATTCAAGGAGAGGCCCCTTCACCAAGGTGTGAGCCATTCATTCTACCACCCGCCCCAGAAGCGGACGGAAGAGCAATAACTGAGTATTGATCCCAGATGCACTCGGAGAAATTCCAACTCAGAAACTACAATTAAAGTGAGGGCGATGAGAACATCCCACACCAAATTACCGCTTCCGCCTCCTGGAGAGGTGCTTTGTGCGGCCCAGAGGACTGATTTCAGAGCTTCCAACTGAGGAGAATCCTCAGGTAAGTATTTTATGAAAATCATCCTTGAAAAGAGGCAGCCCCTGGGCCAACCTGAGGGAAATGAGGACAGCAGTGGAAGGAGGGAGTTCCAGAGCTTTCCTCAGCTTTAGGAATGAGAAACCTCGGGGAAGGAGTGCAAGCCACTCGAGCATGATTCTCATTATTACTAATGATCCTTAATAACGAAGAGGCCACGTTCGGTCTCCAGTCGGCTGAGATGATCAGAAGTGGCTCGCTGCAGTTATAGTAATAACTAAACATAATTCGACACTAAATTACAATTCCAGGCCTACGGCTTTCAGCACAATCCCTTAATGTAAGAGAGAACTAATCCTGAACATCAATAAACAGAATAATCTAATTAAGTATCTCTCCATTTGGGAACTACTCAGAATTGAGAATTTAGCAGGCTAGTGAGGCAGGGCAGAACAATTCAGCATTTATTGGTTTTAAAAAGCCAGGGCTTTTCTCATAACATTTTTGGTTTTTTTAAAAAAAATTTCAAACAAATATCTAATCAATCTGAATGAATCTGCTCTTTCACATGGTGTAAATTCTTAAGGGCTGCAAATGCTTCTCAGATGTGCAACATGATTTCTTCCAAACAGATTTACTTGGAACTTAATATTTAATTAAGTATCTTTTGTGTTCAGTAACATTGAAACATACTCTTAATAATTATTTCCTTATATAATAAGATCACACATAACTAAGGAATTATAGACAAGGAAGACTACTAAAAAGTCTGTATTTTTTTTTCTAGTTCCATTTCATGAAGAAATGATAGCTGAATTCCCTAATTTATAACCTCATTGCTATTGCTATTAACATACTTTGCAGGATCCTGTCTCGGGTTGAAGGGTTCTCTGCTCTGGGAAACACAAAGGAGGAAACTTGCAGTTGAGTCTACAGCACGAACATGCTCTGAACAGCCTGTTGGTAGGGAGCCTGCCTGGAATAACCTGTTGTCATGGAATCAAGGATGACTTCTGGTGACCCCACATGCTCCACAGGGCTGTTCATGGCTGAGGTGTCTCTGGAGGCACCACGCAGGGACTCCCAAGTACTGACTGCTGTTGGAAACTGCTGCACTGCTCACCACCCTGGACTCATGGAAATCCCACACACAACAGGACTGAACTGTGCTGACTGACAGCGTTTTCCCTGGCTTATTTTTTGGGTTTCACCAGGCCGTTCTTCCTCCTCTTGGTCTGGAAAAAATCTGTTCACTCTTGTAACAACACACAAGCCTCCACTGATAAACTAATGGGGGCTGTGGGCCCACTGATAGACTAATGGGGGCTGTGTGTGAGGTGCTTTACCTGGGAATGGAACCCACCTCTCTGGGTGGAAGGTGAGAACTCTACCACAGGCCTTGAGGGTCCCACAGGCAACAGGTATCTGAGAAATGTGTGACAAGGATGAATGATTTCAGATTCCTTGAGGAAGGAAGTTGTTCTCATAAAGTCTGAGCTAGTCTCTTCAGGCTGAATGTCTGGATGGAGGCAGTGGTGAAGATGAGATGGAAATGAAGGCACAATCCACCCTGGACGCAATGCTTCCACGTGCAGCATGACGATAACTTCCCCTATTCTTCTGTCAGGACCCGGGTGATGGTTCTCACTCACTGTTAAGGTATGTATTGGGTATAAGGATGACAGAAGAATTGCTGCCTTTGAATTGTGGTGTTGGAGAAGAGCACTGAACACCCCATGGACGGCCAAGAGAACAAACAGAAATGTCTTGGAGAAGGTGCAGCCAGAGTGCTCTTTGGAGGATTGCTTTGCCTCACAAACTTTGGACATGCTGCTAATAGGGGCTATTCCTTGGGGAAGGACATGATGCTGGGAAGAGTGAAGGGCCAGTGAAGGAGAGGAAGACCCTCAACCCCAGATGGATTGACATGGTGATTGCCACAATGGGCTCTTGTGTGTCAGGAAGTGTGAGGATGGCACAGGATAGGACAATGTTCAGAACGTTATTCACAGGGTTGCTATGAGTTGTACTCAACGACACCTAAGAACAACAGCATCGGATAAATGGCACTGGAGGTACAGACCCCTCGGGAACCCCAAGGGCAATTATCTTGAACAAGGAAATCTAAGTGGTACTTACTGCTGGCGGAGGACATATGGCTGTAGTCAGACCTGAAACACAAAACCTCAGTGTTAGTAAGATTTTTACACGGTTTTTCATTCAAGCTAGACTTTTAAACAATCAGTTGTATTTAAATGGTAAATACATAACCAACATTACTGCAGTGCTGAGGTCCATTTCAGACAAAGGTAAATTACATCTGAATTCACAAGCAAAACTAGTTGGATTTCTCTACAGCAACAAAGAAAACATGGGGAAAAAGTTACACAAAAAGTTAGCATATGACCCAGCAGTCCTATTACAAACTACATTTGCTGAAGAATTAAAAATTATTTGTACAAGAAAGTTCATAACAGCCAAAGGTAGAAACTATCACATTCTCATGAACAGACAAATGGATAAAATGTGCTGTATCTATGTGATGGAATATTATTTAATCATAAACAAGGGTGAGGTATGGACACATGATCCAATGTGGATGAACTTAGAAAACATGCTGAGGGAGAGGCACAGATGTTCACATATTGTAGGCTGATTGCTTGTATATGGAGAACTCAGATCAAAAGCAGGCTACTGACTTCCAGGGGTCGGGGAGCAGGGAATACACTGTGACTACTTAAAGCTTCCTGCATCCAGCAACCCACAAGTTACACCAGTATAGAAGACTGACAGACAAATGCTGTACTAATAAAGCAAATGATAAACATGCAAGCATATATAACTTAGTTATAAAGTAATTATTACTGTTCTTGTATACGGTCTAGTTGGAACCAACTCAAAGCCGACTCTTCCGTGGGCTTTCAGAGGTTGTAAATCACACAGGAGGAGAATGCCCATCTTTCTCCTCTGGCACAGTTGGTGGATTGGAACCATACACCTTTGCATTGGCAGCACAATTCCTCAGCACTAAGCCACCATAGCTCAACAGGCAAATAAATCCCCAACATAACAAACCAACAGATACGTGTTGTATCTCTAACAGCAAAATGTAAAGACAATAATACATAAAATACCACGGTGCAGGGCACCCTTTTCTGACCCGGGCTTAGGCCCACAACGGTGTAGCAGGATGGGTCCTGCATGGGGGTGTTTGGGACAGTGGCAAGGGTCTCCTTTAGAGTTCTGATGGCGTAGTGTGTTATATGCAGGACTAACTGAAAACTAGTGGTTCAAATCCACCAGATGCTCTTCAGGAGAAAAATGGGCCTTAGAAACCTGAGGTGTTGGAGAACTCACTCTATCGAGGTTATTGGCTAAGTGCCATTGAGTCACCTATGACTCACGGTGACCTTATGACAATGGGTCTGAGAACCCTGCCTGATCCTGTGCCATTCTCATCATCTTTGACATACATGAGCCCACCACTAGAGTCACCGTGTCAGTCCGTTTCGTTGAACGTCTTCCCCTCCTTCACTGACCCTCCATCCTTTCCAAGCATGATGTGCTTCTCCAAGGACTGGCCCTTCTTAACAATATGCCCAGAGTATGTCAGACGAAGTTGCACTATCTTTATCTCCAGGGAGCACTCTGACAGCACCCTTTTCAAGACCTAATTGTTTGTTCCTCTAGCAGTCCATAGGACATTCAGCATTCTTCTCCAACACCACATCTCAAAGGCATTGATTGTTTTTCTACCATCTTTATTCATTGTTCAGCTTTTAGCTGCATAGCAAGTAACTGAAAACACCATAGTTTGGATCAGGTGCACTTTAGTCTTCAAGGTGACATTATTGCTCACTAGCACTTCTACGATGATAAATTTGTTGGGTTTTTTCCAGTGGGGGGAGGGGGATAATAAAAACATTTTGCACCTGGATAAAGGTGACAGCTGAGAGTAAGTATTTAAGTTTAGTATATATGAATGTTACCTCAATTAAACAAGTAAGTTTTGAAGAGTAAAACTTGAAAGGTAACTTTAGAAAACAGGGCCTCTTTCTTCGAATGGGTTCTATGAGTCCAGCAGATGGGATTCTGGAGGACCCTAACCACTCTTTAAAGGGAGTCCTAAGAGGTTGAAACTTCCAGCTGCCACCAAGTTGACCCCACGTTTGTCAGAGTAGAACTGTGCTCCTGTGGGGCTTTCAAGGGCTGATTATTTGGAAGCTGATCACCAGGCCTTTCTTCTGAGGCACCTCCAGGAGGAGGACTTGAACCTCCAACCTTTTGGTTGGCAGCTGGGCCCACTCCCAAGTGTTAAATCACTGCAAATGGTCACTCCTCAACCAATGCTACAGCACATCCTGGAGAACGTATCTGTGCGGATGGAAGCAGTGAGAGGATGAGGGAACCTCTGCCAGGAGGGCTTTCACATTCAAGGAAACAAAAGGGTACACACTGATTTGAGAAATGTCAGTTCCGGCCGCCGGATAATAGGGTAGCAGGATGTGAGCTGTGATGTGGAAAAGGAAGATCCAGAGGCCAGGGCGAAGTGCCTGAAGGTGGCAAATGGCTAAGCGCTTAGCCTCTAGCAAAAGGATGTTGGTTTTAACCTAACAAGAGGCACAACGGAGCACCGGCCTGACAACCTGCTTTTGAAAGATCACAGTTTTGAAGGCCCCCAAGGAGAGACTCAGCCTCACACAATGGGTTCTCCATGAGTCAGAACCACCTCTGCAGCAATGCTCACCATCACCAACAGGTGAAGAAGTCACTGCTCTCTGGTGGCCCAGTGGCAACGAGTGCCAGCAACCCAAAGGCTCACTGTTCGAATCCACCAGCTGCTCTGTGGGAAAGAAAGATGGACCATCTCCTGCCATGTGATTTACTGCCTCTGAAAATCTGCTGGAGGGTCAGCTATGAGTCGGTTCCAGCTTGACAGTACACAGTAACCACAACGTCAAGAGCACAAGGGTTTATCCTGCCAAGGTGGGAGGGAGGGACGACAGCTACGTGTTGAAGAGGTTCATTACAATTCATTTTACAGATACACTTCGCTTTGATCTGGCCTCCTATTGCCTTTCTCAAATCATCATCCAATTTCCCTTCCACTATCCTTCATACACAAAAGAGTTTGAAGAATCGGAGAAATTCTAACGAGTTTAAGGACCTGCATCTCTCACACAAGATGATGTGCTGGTTTATGGGATGAAAGGAAAGCCGCACGTGGTCTTCCCATCTCAGATGAGTTACTGTGGGACTCACAGAATCACTGAATTTTAAAGGTGGCGAGAATGTGAGAGGACACGTGTGGATTCCTTCATCGCAAAACACACCCAAGCCTATCAAATTGCTTTGTTCATTTTATTGATGAGGAATTAATGCGGGACTAGGGGGCTCTGAGGGTGCAGTCTGCAGGGCGTGGTGCTGCTAACCTAACTGCTGTGCTTTTCTGGCTGCTCGAATCCACCCGCAGCTCCTCGGGGAGAAGGATGGGCCGTCTCCTCCTGTGCAATTTACAGCCTCTGAAAACCCACTGGAGGGTCAGCTCTGAGTCAACTCCAACTCAACCGCAGTGTGCTGAGACGTAACAAAAGCACCAGCTGAGGAAGGGCAGGGACTTGGCCTTGCGTGTAGTGGGTTGGGCGAAGAAGCAGGTAGAAGGATTAGAGAGGGTCGGGGAGATAAGAGCAGTGAGCAAGGTCAAAGGGCAATGACCTTCTGAAAGCCTCGATCTGCATTAAATGCTTTCTGGAACATGCCAGGATATAAAGTTCTGGACAATTCTTAGAAATGTAACTCCATAAATGCAGCAGTGAATACCCAATAAAGGTCTATTACGGTAAATAAATGCAGCGGCCAAATACTCCCATTACAATACGATCCTAAGAAATTCCAAGACTACTCCAATGAAACATATAAGAATGCATGAGATGACTATTTTATTATTAAAAAATTGCCAGCATTTTCTGCTCAGCGTTTCCAAATATACTTGGAGCAGATGGAATTCACATATGCATACATTTGAAAGATCCGCATACAGATGGATATGTCTATAGAAAAAAAAATTTACATTTGAAAACTATTTTAGAATCTTCAAGTGCAATGGTTGTTTCCCAGAACAGGACGAGTACCTCAGAGACCTTTCACAGGTCCAGCCCACCTCCAGGCAGGAGCAGTTCTCCTCTGTCCAGTCAGCCCCCTGCCCATGCCCTGGCCAGTGCCTGCGTCCTCTTGTGATCTCCTCCTTATACATCCATCTCTGCCCAACAAAAATCTGGCCCTGCCATCCTCTGTTCCCACTGCCTTCTGGATGAAGGCAGGCTCTCTGGGGTAAAACATGAGAGATGGTTCCCTGCCCAGCCCCACATCACCCACCTTCCACGCGGTACTCCGTGAGCAGAGCCAGCAAGCAGTGAAAGGAAAGTCCCCTGAAATCTCACCACTGCTTTCCAGGCTTCGTTCATCCCCCAAAATCCAAACTCGGTGATGTCAAGTCACTTCCAACTCTGGTGACCCCACGTGTTCACGTCATCTGTACACAGTTGCCATAACAACACAGATAAAACCTGTGTGACTTAGCATTTTAACATGCTGTACACACTCCCTCCAGCTGAAATTTTAAAAGATGTGATGCACTATCATTTATTCACTCCTCTGATTGACTATATGCTTATTCTCAGTTGTTCACTTTGATAAGGAAAAAATTAGGAGGAATATTTTGTACTGACTTTCTTTTCCTTAGACAAATTGTCAGGATCAGGATTATATACTGAGTCCAAGAATGAACACAGCTTGTAAAATACATATATATTCTAGGTAGCTTTTAAGATATATATTCCAAATAATGCCCAACCACCTGGTCAACGCAGCTCTGGTGGCTTAGTGGTGAGGGACTGTGCTGTCAACCCCAAGGTACATAGTTCAAATTCCCTAGCTGCTCCACAGTTGGAAGGTGGGCAGTCTCCTCCATATGACCAACTGACTGAAACCTCACTGGAAGGTGAGCTATGGGTCAGTTCCAACTCGAAGGTACAACAACCACCTTCTCAAAGGAGAAACAACTATAACGCTGAAAACAATTCTGTGCGTAAACAATTTCAAAACACCTCAAGGGTAGCTCTGGTGGCCTAATCCACAGAAAACAACACTGCCAACTCAAAGGCCATTCCTC